TTGTTCTCCTTGTTCGTCCATCTGTATCCCATCATCACGATATATTTCCACAAATCCATATTCCTTTCTCGAATGTATCTCTTTGCAAACTGATAATCTTTTCAACAATCTGTGACAAAAGCCACATTCATTGTCTTATTTGAAAACCCAAAGTTTGGTTCAAAATAACAGCGGATCTCATCAGACAACAGTGATTTGTTGTGGTTTATTCAACGCGACCGGTGTTGTTTATTTATGGTGAAAACAAGTTGCTCATCAAGTTTATCATAGCGCATCATCACTGATTCGTAATATCCATCTTGTCATATTCATCTCCACTCATATTGAACCAAATCTAATAATTCGACAGTCCATTCATTTCATATCTTCTTCTTTTTGAATCAAATTCGTTCATTTCAATCATTCATCTCATATAATTCTGTATCTTCATACAGTCGTCGATTGATTCAGTTTGCAGTTTGCTGGACACTGCGCTGGTTCAACTGCACTATTTCGCTGTTCATTAAATCACGATGATAAATTTATATGCTATTCCCACTTCACTGCTACTTATTTTGAGTTATTCTCACAATGTTCTGTCTCAAAATGTTCGCCCAAATCATGTGGCTATCAATGAACAACGAAAACACATCGATGTTGACTCGTCGTGGCTGGATAAATCAGGACTGGAAGTACAAAAGGTAATGCCTTTTGAGATGTTCAATTGTGCTTAAAAATTACAATTTTCTATAACCTGATCGAAACACTTGTAGTCATTCCACCACCACACATTCACGTTTCCTTAAGTGTAATACCCTTCTTTCTTGTTTTTGAGTGGAGAGAAGGATCAAGAATATTGAATGAGCAATTGAAGCACTATTCAATTGCGAGGACAGTCATTGTTCCGAATACAAATGAAAACTTTTCGTTAAGTCAGCACTACATCAGGGCAGACCATTGAAGCTAGCAAGATCTATAACAAAAAATCTGACTTCGTTGTGCGATACTAGAAACTCTTTGGAACTGAATTGTTTCACTGAAAAATTACAGAGCTACAGCCAGATAATATAAGATGTCGGGTAGCCAGTCAACTCTTTGATAGAGAATATTTTGGATTGTTCCAATGTGCATTCGGTTAAGAATGAAATAATGGCCTACAAATGATGAATATTGTTCGTTTGCGGTTAATTTGATTATGGTGGGTCGTTGTCATCCATCATCAATATGGATGGATATATTTTGTGTGACCCAAATTAATGACACGACTGTAAATCACTTTCGTTGATCAAATGCAATATGCACAAATTAATTTATTGATTGATATTGTGTGGGGTTTGATTTGATCTGATTATCAAGTCAACTTCAGTACATGAGCAATATGGGAAAAAGATGTTCAACGAAAATTAGATTGTACATAAAAACAATACTCAATTGACCTCAATTTTTTGCAGTCGTTCGTAGATAGCTGAAATAGTGAAATTATGAAAAGTTGAGAGTTCAATATGAAAAATTTTGATGATTTTCATCAACAATAAGCAGAAAACTTTGCATTGTAAGCTGCAATCCGATAGGATTATTGAATCTGATCGTAAGCATTTCGTATGAATAGTTAATGCATTATGTGGGGAACCAAAAACCTATCGTGTTCTAAAGAACAGCCACCATCAGAGAAATGGCACCAAGTGCAGAAAACGCCTACTGTAAAAAAAATTGTGCATCTCGGATCATTTTCATCTAACAATTTTCATCTAACAAGTTTTCATCAATTTTTCATCTAGATTTTGATCTAGCAGACACGATGATCAATTGATAAGATTTGATTTATGCGTTGTTGTGGAGCTACAAAGAAATGATAAAGAAATTGATAGGAAAACTTGATGAAAATATGCAAAGAATGGCCGGATGATAGCAATGATAAAACCATGGAGCTTTGAAGTGACTGATAAAAACTACTTGTCAACCTTGAGTGGAACGAGTCTATCGAGCATATATTTTGACATGTTTAAGGTTGGACTGGATGCGAGCGATAAAGAGAAGGTCTTACTCGATCTGATCAACTCCCATAAACAACTTAGCGCATCAGCGCATGGTAATGTCGCCGGTGCAGAAACATCAGATGGACATCGAGCTCAAGTTAAAAAATTCGGTGACAAAGGTGGCATTGCACTAGTCAACGGACATAAGTTAGTGATTATTACTGATAAACAATTATCAGCAATTGTGCCACATTGCCTCTCGTTTCAACTGCTGCTGTTTTAATTAAAAGAGAGGAGATATCATTCATTAGTCCCAAACCCATTCTCAAGTGTTCAAGCTATAAATGCGATTGGATATATCCAAAATATCGCTTGTAACAGACTGGATAACGTCAACAAGATTGCTAAATCCGACTTCGACTAGGGTTTAGAATGTCCAGACTTCTTGCTAATGAAGTTTTGCTCGAAACCGAATGTTTCGTTAAATTCGTCCTATCATCTTCCATTTTCCATATATCATCATATTTTTGCATATATCCTATTTGCAAAAGTTGCCGTAACAACTCGGCATCTATTACCAATCCAGTGCTTCAATAGATTCTACAAACCAATCTTCGTCGTATACCATTGAATAGAATGGCAATGAAATAATGATTTGGTGCGAGGGTTTCTGGAGAAAATGCTAACTTTTGTTGCAGAGCACAATTGAAAACGAAAGAAACTGACGATGGTCGGCATGCTTATCTGAAAGCGGATAATGAATACGAGCTGGATGCGGTTGCGAAGGGTTCTCTGAAAGATGCAAAAAATTCTGAGTTCGAAGCGACCAATGAACGCTTC